ATTCAGAAGCTACATTTTATTTTTATTTTTATTTTTATTTTTATTTAAAAAAATTTTTTTTTCAACGTTTTATTTATTTTTGGGACAGAGAGAGACAGAGCATGAACGGGGGAGGGGCAGAGAGAGAGGGAGACACAGAATCGGAAACAGGCTCCAGGCTCCGAGCCATCAGCCCAGAGCCCGACGCGGGGCTCGAACTCACGGACCGCGAGATCGTGACCTGGCTGAAGTCGGACGCTTAACCGACTGCGCCACCCAGGCGCCCCCAGAAGCTACATTTTTAAAAATATTTTTTATGTGTATTTATTTTTGAGAACGAGAGAGACAGAGTACTAGGGGCAGAGAGCGAGGGAGACACAGAATCCCAAGCAGGCTCCAGGCTCTGAGCTGTCAGCACAGAGCCCGACGCAGGGCTCAAACTCACCAACCATGAGATCATGACCTGAGCCGGGGTTGGATGCTTAACCGACTGAGCCAGCCAGGTGCCCCAGAACGTATTTTTATATTTTAATTGGCAACGTTCCTCCTCACCCATCCATAACTGTGCCTTCAGGCAACTGGAAGAGGTGTTCCAGAACATGATGAGTGCAGTTATAGAAAAATAACTGTATATTTATGATTGAATTTAGAGGTTGGGCACAGCTGTGGTATATGCATTTTCATACCCCATTGTATGCCTAAATAAGAGTAGATGAAGTCTTTAAGGAGGAGAGAAAAGAGAGTCACGTAAAGATTGTCCAAACTATGGTCGACACCTTCATGTTTTAGTTGCATGTGACTCCTCTCACTACCCAAATATTACTCTTTTTGATCATCTCCTCCCTAAAAAGCTTCCCTCTCCAATCTACAACTAGCTAGTGTTGTTAATTCTTCCGCATTCAGTGTAGATATTGCATATCTAAATGTCATTAGGGAGTTTATATAACTTTGTCTCAAGGAAATAGCTAGCAAAACAACATTCAACAAGTTTGCACTCCAGTTGACGATAGAAGATACAAATGAAACAACTAGAAAACGGTCCAAAGTAGATCCTGGTCCTTTGGCTCTTTGATGTGTTCATGGGATAAAGAAAGGACCCAGGAGGGAAGATCTGTTTTGTCATGAAGAGGACAAAATGGGATTTATCAATTTGAATTGAAAAGTGGGTAAAGAATCCCAGTATTTATTCACATATTCATTCAACTATAAAAGGGAACTAATCACCACCTCCACCACCACAACCATGTGTTACATGTGTACAAGGTTAGATCAAAGTGGTAGCTAATAATATTACATTCTGCAGTTGTTCAAGGATGACAGTTGAGAAAGTTTGATGACAGAGGATAAAAATAACACTTGTTTGGGCATAAATGGAAGTGTTTTTTTTTTCATTGAACCATGGGAACATTCTTCGTCCCACCCACACCCCCAGAAACCTAAGAAATAATTTTGTGACAACCAGTATTTACTACCTGATCAAATTATAATGATTGTCTATTTTCTGAAATTAAAAAATGACTGTATTGGTAAACATGTGGATACACTGAGGTAATGATAACATAATCAGTAACTATTGGGTTAAACTCAATTTTGAGTTTTCCCACGTAGCAAATAATGTACATAACCTTTGTTCAAGAGGTTTTTAACACTTGTATAATAAAACATTTGACAAGAGTTAGCTAATAGCAATTTAGAGGCAGATGTACAGGCAGAAATGCTTATAGTTTGAATGTGCCTTGTTGACAAAGAGATAGTGGCCTGTTTATCATTTTTTTTTATTTAAAAGAAACATGGAATCTTTACCTCCAGCTTGACAGTTGGTTATAAAAAGCAGAAGACACCTTAAAGTTTCCTCTGGCGGGTATTATCACTTCGTTCCAGTATCAGTGGTGGGTAGAAACACATATGCTCTATCACACTTCGACCTTTACACTTCAAGTCAAGAGAATCCTGAGTGAGGTCAGTTTTCCCATCTAGTGTGCACTTTGCTTAGATGTAAAAACAAACAAACAGGCAAGAAAGCAACCAAAAAACCATTTTCACAGAATTTGATCTGTAGATTTCATTTACGCTTGAATGAAATATGTTTGTTTCTACGCTGGTGACTTTGCAAGAAAACAGGGCCAGGAGAGGCATTTCCTCAAAGGCTAAAAGGAGGCATTACCACCACCACCACTACTTGCCAGGGGATTTGCAAAGCATGTTGAGGCTCAAGGTTAGCATGGGAGATGAGCCAGGCTCAGGAGAAGTTAACACAGAAAAAGGTTAGAGTGTTTTTTCCCCTTACAACAAAGTACTTCAGATAGTAACTCCCGGTGGTCAGGTAACGGTGTGTTTTCTGCAACGATCAGGTTTGGGATTGTCTATTTTCTTTACGCTTGTGAGGTTTGAAATTGGCATTTCAAATCCTTGGGGGGAAAGCTATTTTTGTAATTCAGCCGGGATGTCCTTGTCTTAGGGTTTCCCATTGCATCAGTCCCTTAGCCTGGTACTATAGCCATGAGAGTGCTGTGTCTTTTAGATGAAATGCAGAAATAAGGACATGATTATGGTGCTTATTAAAGATTCCTTGCTATTTTCACAAGAGTAGGGGCGTTAGACTCTTGTCTACTGGCCAAATTCTAAATTGGGAGATTACATTCTGCTTTCCTAAATCCCCCTAGCAGAAGCAGCCATCCACGGTATCCTACTTTGCTTCCTTTGCTAAACTGTTGTGTGATATCATTGAATGGCGCTGGTTTTCTACTCTAGAAGTGGTTACTTCATAGTGGGGTGGTGAGGAAATCAGTACCTATTGTCTGATATTGTGTTTGACCCAGTTGCAGACAAGTTAAAAAGTAGGCTCTGAGAGTTAAGGATGAAGTACAAAACAAAACAAAACACCTTAACAGTGTAGTAGTGATTGTGGAGCATTTCTTAAAAAAATGAATCTGCTTTCTCTTCTGCAACATAGACCAAAAAAATTAATGTTTTTTTTTTTTTTTACTCCACTGGTAGTAGATAAGGAATAATCATTTGCTTCAAATAGGAAGATAGTTCTAACAGTGATGATGAGGTTTGAGAGGATGAGATCACATATCACAGAACAGTTAACCCATCTCTTTTGTCCTTAGGCTGCTGCTAACCATTCTAGACAGCTGATCCATTTCATAAAATCTCTTTTTAAGGAGGTTTTTTTAAAAAAAATCTTTTCTTGGTAATATATTTTAGTGTTCCTCAATCTTTCCATGACAATGAAAAATTGTTTAATGTCACCATCTTTTATCCATCGCTAACCTTGCTATCGTGTCGTGGTTTTGAGAGGCAGTATAGCACAATGGCATGGTTTTTGAAATCTGACATTTAAATCCTTGCTCTATCACTTTCTAGGTGTGTGATGTTGAGTGATTTACTTCTAAGGTTCAATTTCCTCATTGGTAAATGAGCAACCTCAGAGGGTCGCAGTGAAGATCAAGTGAGAGGATATATTATTTTGAAGGGTTATGGGGTAAGGTGAAGCATAGTACTCAGCACCCAAAAAATAGTGGTCAATAAATAGTTATTTATTGGATTGTGTACACAGATCTGACTTAATTCATAAACTCTTTGAGAGTGGGAAGCATACTTCCTGGATTTCTACATAAGTACAGTGTTGTGCACATAGTATGGTGCAGGGGATCGATATTTATTGCATGAATGAACTTTTTTCGTTCCTGCGTGGAATAAACAGCCCTCAGCTATTTGCAAGATCCCATTTAGCTCAAAGGTGACAAAATCAATCAATACTCTGATGTCTCCAAATGTACTGACACCTTACTTTGTCTAGATGTTTTGGCATGGTGTAGATACAATGCAAATAACTTACACTTTCTATCAGGCTAATTTCTATGAATTTTAATACTTGAGTTGTCTTAGGTGCCCAGAATGGGACTGACTCAATCATACGCTTCCTCATTCATCCAAGCCTTCTTTGATTGAGATTTTTTTTTTTAATGAATACTAAGAACCATCTAATTATATACCTGAACGAAACCTTCCAACTTGTGACTAAGTACACTACCTGCCCTATTTACCTGTAAGATCTGTGCTGACTACAGATATATTTCAAATTGCTTTGCTCCCAAGCAAAAAAACCAAAACCGAACAAAACAAGCAACCACCGCCGCAAGTTCCAGAGCGCAATCAACATCCTTGAACCAGGGAGATGTTGGTTAGGACTTTATTTTTTGCTTTTAAACGTTTGCACGGGGCTAGGAGGGAAAGTTGGGGGAACAAGGGAGAGGTACATAGATTCAACCAGGCTTGAATATTTGTCAATAAGGAAGGAGTATTGCTCTTCGCCATAATCTTGGAAAACCCCTGGTGTGTGCTTAGGTGGGCATTAAAACGACCTCAGTGTGGCCATTTCCCTGATGGCTTTGTACATACTTTATAGGGGCGGTCTCAGGTGTGGAGCTCCAAGCACCTGCTTGCTCAACTCCCGCAGTTCAGAAACCAGCGTATTTGAGGCCGGTGGCTCAGGTTTCACGTAACTCGGCTCAAGTGTCACTAACACTATGTGCAGTGCCGGTCATCGAGCTGTGCTTTGGGACTTGGATACTTAACTTCGGACTTTCTCCCCCCCCCCCCCCCCCCC